TTCCCACTTAGTCCAATGATACTTGTTGTTCCCACTTGAGGTGCCCCAAAAAAATTTGCCATCATTGAATGAAGTTTATTAATGACAGACTTTGGGAGAGTGTGTACAGCAATAAGGTGTAGTGGAATGGATGAAAGCACATGCTTTATGAGAATAAGTCTACCACTTTGGTTAAGAGTCTTGCTATACCAACTATCAAAGTACTTATTAAAGTGTTTGAGAAGCTCACCACAATCAGTTTTCTTTAACTTTCCCTTGCAAATTGGTGCTCCAAGATATTTGAAAGGAAGCTTGTCATGTTTCATTCCCAGGATTCCTTCAATCTTGCTAATGGCTGACCTGACTAGTTTGTTCCCATAGTAAAATTTACTCTTTTCATATTTAATCTGCTGTCCAGAGGCCTCCATGTACATATTGAGAATATGTTTGAGTTTATAGGTATTTCTACACTCTCCTTTACAGAAAATGATAATGTCATCTGCGAAAGCAAGATGGCTTATCTTCATCTGAAAGTATCCCTTGGGGCTGCCATTAATCGAAATGGAGAGAAAAGTGGATTTAAGGTTAGCCATAAGCAGATTCTGGGCATGAGTTGAGAAGCCCAGTTTGTTAAGTACCCCTTGAAGATACTGCCACTCCAGGTTTTCAAAAGCTTTAGCCATGTCAATCTTAACAATGATGTTGCCTCCTCTGACCTTGGTGTCAATTTTGTGTACCATTTCCTCAACCAATAGAATTTGTTCCTCCACCCCCATACCTTTTTGGAAACCTGTTTGCTCAGGAGATATAATTTTAGGGAGGAGAGCTTGAATTCTATCAGCCAGTATCCTTGTATTTATTTTGCTCATGAAAGTGGACAATGAAATTGGTCTGTAGTCACCAAAGACTTTAGGTTTTTCATTCTTGGGGATAAGGGCTATAAAGGTGCTTCCATATACCTTGGGAATAGGTATACCAGTAAAGAATTCCTTAGTGGCACTAATAACATCCACTTTGATAATATTCCAGCAGGATCTGAAGAATGTTCCATTGAAGCCATCTGGTCCTGGAGCACTTCTTGGATCAAGGGACCACACTGCAGCTTTTATTTCCTCTTCAAAAGGTAATTTGCATATTTTCTGATTATCCTCATATGATATAACTTCCTCTAAGTATTCCATCAAAGGCTCCATATGAATGGATTGGGTTTTGCTGAATGCATTTGTAAAGTGTTCAACAGCTTTTTTGCTTATGCTTTCCAAGTCTCTGTCCTCTTTTCCATCTTGATTACAAATGCTCCTAATTTTAGCTTTTGCCCTTCTGCCTTTAACATAAGCATGAAAGAACTTAGTGTTGCAATCCCCCTCAGTAATCCATTTAAGATTGGCCTTTTGTTTCCAAAAGAGTAATTCAATATTGGTAGCTTGAATGAGATGAGGCCTAGGTTTGTTGTCTGCTTCCCTGTGATATTAATATGGTCTAAATCGAAAAAGACAATTAAATTCAGAATTGTATTTTATGAACTTGAATATATGAGTTTCATACTGTATAAAATTTTTAAGAATAAAATCCATGATTTAAGTATTTAATTATTAATTTTTGTGAAAAATAGTTTTGGCAGTTTGGTATTTAATTCCTGAAAATTACATAATTAACTTTGAATTTTTTAAAATTAATATTTAGTAATAATATCATAGTTTTCTGAGAATAATGATTTTTGTAATAATTATGATGCACAAAAAATAATTTTAGAAATTGTTTTTATGAATTACCAAATAATAAAAGGAAAGAACGAAAATAAAATTTACGAAAAATATGGAAACTTTATTTTAAGATTTTATATGAGTCAAAAACTTTATTTTTGTAAAATATTTATTTTTGGAATATTTTGATTTATTTTTGGGAATTAATTGTTTTCTTTTGAAAACAAATTCCAAGATACCAAAAATACAATTTATTTAAATCTAGAAATTTGATTTTCAGAACAATATTGACCAAAGTATAAAGTTTTGGAAAATAGTAATTTTTGGAACTTGAAATTAATTTTTGGAAAATTAAATTTGATTAAGACTATTTAAATAAAGAAATTCGAAAGTAAATTTTATAAATTTTGGAAATCTTATTTTCAGACTTACAAAATTAGTACAGATTCTGGAATTTAATTTTTTAATTTTCAAAAGGTATAAACATTTATTTTGAATTAATATCCCAATTTTGAAATTAATGCCCATATTTACTGTAAATAATTATTTTAAAATTCAGGAAAATTCAAATATAAATTGTAGATATTCTGGAGTTTTAGAATAATTTTAAATTAAATTATTTGATAATTTTTAGGTTTGTAGTTTATTTTTCTTAGAATAAACTAGGTCTAGGGCGAATGTAGCTTGATCGGTGTCTGGAATTTTATGAATGTGATGTATGAATGTTTGCATGGTGCATGGTTGTGACTTAGAATGTATGGTTTTTAAATGCGACTTGCATGCCTCATCTCTAAATTCTGGTTGTAAATCTCTTCTTAAACCGCATACCCCTTGCTTACAAAGCAAGGATTCTTTTCTCTCGATTAAATAAAGAATTTCATGAAGAAGCAAGGAAGATGAAGGAGCCAAGAAGAAGAGGACATTAGCAAGAAGGGCGGAACTTGAAGGGTGAAGCACTCTCAAAGAAAGAAGGTGAAGCTGGAGATAGATATCTCAAGCGAAGGCTTTATCATTAGTTTCTTTAGGAGACCACAACTATGCCACGTTTTATTCATAATACATCTTTGTATGTTTGAATGTATGCTTGTATGATATTTGCTAATGTATGTGCGCGGCACATACCATAGGTGAGACTTGTAACACCCCAACCCGCATACCCCGAATACTCGGGTCCAGCGAATCGGGTTGCTACTAATTAGGTATCCAAACACCATTTAACTTTCAAAAAAATTTAAAACATTTAACTCAAACAACATCTAAATATCCATCGGAGTAAATCAAACGGTGGCGGAAGCTAAATTCATAATTCAAATCACAACTTGGCAATCATGCCCTAAATAGTAATAAGTTATTTAA